ACCCGCGCCCGAAGCCCGGGCCTCGGGGCCCCAGTCCTGCCAACTCAGGGCTCCAGCTCCAGTGACTGCGACCATCATCACTACGAAACAGAAGGGAAGGGTTGCCGGTTCAACTCCTCTCCTCCCTTCCGTCAAACGGTCCTCACGCCCTATTCCCTTTCAAATTCTGAGTCTGAGAAGGAAGACAACCCAATAAGATAAAGATATGGGGGCCCCTGACTTCTCTCCCAAGGAGCTAGAGAATTATACCAACGCCAGCTCTCCTTCTACAGCCAGGCCGGTGAAGAAACAATTTACAAGACGCTAATCTAAGAGCTTTACTTATTTTATTTACGTTGCAGGCTTTTGAGTTCATGCTTTAAAATGTTTAATATTTATTAACACATTAAATGGAACAACCCAATGAGATGGATGATACAAGTATCTCCAGTGTACAACTGAGGAAAACTCAAGACTCAGCGAAGTCAGTCCCCTTCCCAGGGTCACACAGCTAGAAGGTATAAAGCTGGAATTGAAACCCAGGCAGTCTGGCTCCAGTCTCCACTCTCCGCTCTCACCGCACACTGCCCCAGTTAGAAAAAAAAAATAACTGTGACCTCATTTAATCCCCCCAACAAACCAACCAGGTGCGTACTGTTATTGTCTCCATCTTACAGGCAAGGAAACTTAGGCACAGAGAGGCTACTAATGGAGCTAGAAATTGGTGCAGGCAAGACGCTCGCAGCCAGTTTGATCCGTAACTACCATGGGAGGGGAGATGCGAGTCATACAGAAGGAGAAGGAATTGCCACAAAGTGTGTGAAGCTTTCATCACCTTCACATACTGAGCCCCAGGGCTTTAGGCACAGTCCCTCGTGTCCTTCCTGGGGCTTAGCACTGGGTGTGATGGTCTTTCCAAGTAACTCCACCATTCCTGCACTTCACTGGCCATAACGGGCCGTGACTGAACTCAGAGCCACACTGAGGTCCAGCCGTTTTGCTGCCAGCTGGACAACTCCTCCCTGAGTTGGGCGTAGCATATTTAAAGGGCCTTCACATGTGAGCTTCATCCCTTTTGTGGCCAGGGCCCCAGGATGCTTTGGGAAGGCATAACAAGGGGCACCAGTACCACCAAACCCTCTTTGCTCCTACTTTGGAAATGATGTCACTGTCTGAAGGGGAACAAGAGCACAAGGAAGAGGCACAGAGGATGTGTATGGCCATGACCACATTAACAACTTGATTTATTTCAGTTTACGGAGTTCATTTCTTTCTCCCTGCCGACGCAAGGCCTGTGTTGCTCAATGTAGTGAATTCCAGCGATTCTGGGGCTGGTCGTGGAAAAACATAGGATCATAAGGAGGGAGGGGCTCACAGCAAGCTTTATTTGGGCAACACTTTGTCAAGTGTGCATGCAGGAGCAGGGCAGAGGAGTCCCACACAGCCTGGGACCATCCAGACACTGTGGCTGCCCAGGGTGACCCCCCCCAGAACAATGGGAAGGTAAGGGAACACCCCAGCGGAATGATGGGATGGGAGAGGTGACTCACCTGTCTAGGTGAGGCCACTCAGCCATCCCTCTGGGAGTCTCTGGATCAGGGAGCTCCCAAGGTCAGCAGCAGAGTGGGGTCTTTAATCGCTACAACGTTATCCAACATCTGACCAGCAAATATTGGATGTAGCTTCTCAAAGTATGCAAAGCAGGCAGGTTCTCAATAGCTAAAGTTGCTGCCGTGTTTAAAACAGTTGAGTGTGTTTTAAATATGAGAATTAGATGCTGGTGCCCGCAGGCTTTTGAGTTCATGGGTCCCAGTCTGTTGTGAAGAAATCAACAACCCAGAAACCAATATATGGGGCCATCTTTGACTTATTACTGTCACATCCTAAGATCCAGTGGGAAGTACACCCAAACACTCCCAGAATCCACAGCTCCACCAGGCCAAGTCTCTCTCAGGCATGACACACTCAAATTCTGGGTTCAGGGTTCTGACCTGATTCACTTTGAATGCTGGTGATTGAGACTGGCTGATGATTTCCTCCTACATTGCCATCCCTCTGCACAAAGGCAGAGGAGTCTACCATTCAGACAGTCAATTATACACATTCAACAGGAGTGGGTTGGCGGATATTTTACCTACAAGAATCTGCGAGGCAGTTCCTGTGCCTGTTGTTGTCTAAGAGTGAAACAACTTCACCAGCAGGTGTCGCTATTATATTACATATCAGGGAGAGTATGGCTCCCTTGATAGGGCCTTAAATAAAACACACTTCTAGTTGTTTATATTCTGGTCACTAGCTCCAGTAAATGCTATGTAATCACAGCCATCAACAATGACGTATGTGATATTAAACCCATTTACTATTCAATCCAACAGAGTCCTCCATGCTTCTCAGGAAATCCAGCACAACTAGGAGGGTAACTTCACAGAATAATGAACAAATTCTATTTACTACTAGACAATCCACCTGCTTCTGGCTCCATAGAACATGAAATAAGTAAAATGACTACTCCACTGCTCCTTGTAGATTATCAGACATGCCCAACAGCAAAGGGACTCTCCATGGAATATTGTTCATTACTCTTTAATTTGAACGCATTCCAAATACACAGATACACAGATACACAGATGAGCTCAAGTCCCCAAGGTTTCATTCTGGAGATCTGAAGTCTTTGGCATGTCTGTAGGATTAGGGCATGAGGCAGGGGCAGAGCCATCCTTTAGTTCTCTATTCTGTTAGATTTAAAGTCAGGTCCAAGTTCTGTCCTCAGGCCCTTCTTATTTTCACACCTTGTTTTCTTTTTGGAAACCCTCATTGTCCCCCAATGACTCAACATTGGTTCTCATTCCCAAAGCCCTGTCTTCAGCATTCCAATACCATCACCTATTAGAGGTTTCACTACTGCTCAAGCTTAAAATGTTAGAAATGGACTCGTTTTCTGTCTCCCCTAAATCGGTTCCTCCTTCTAATTTTCCTACTTATGTTAATTGTCAGCTCTTCTTTTCCTCAGAGTTATTATCTTTGACCCTTTCCTCCCTTGGTTCTTCCTCCCAATTCAACCCTTTCCTAAACAGACTGGTCTTTTCTAGTCTATTTCTATAAAGTGCTTGAATGTTTCCAAACTATTTCTTGTACACCTTCTATGTGCAAGGACTTATGCAATGTGTTAAGGCATTGGGCTTGAGGCCAGTCTATTTGGCATTCTTTGGACAGCATTGAAACAATACTCTTAAAGCAACAGATGTCAGTAAGTTGATTACCAAACATGTGTTTTTTATTTTTTTTTAATTATTTTTTAAAAATATATTTTATTGATTTTTTTTACAGAGAGGAAGGGAGAGGGATAGTTAGAAACATCAATGGGGGAGAAACATCAATCAGCTGCCTCCTGCACACCCCCCACTGGGGATGTGCCCGCAACCAAGGTACATGCCCTTGACTGGAATCGACCCTGGGACCCTTCAGTCCGCAGGCCGACACTCTATCCACCGAGCCAAACCAGCTCGGGCTGTTGACCGGTTAGGGTACCAAACATCTATTTTTTAACTTAAAGAGGAGAAACAGCTTGGTTTTAAAAAATTCTTTTTGGAACAAGAAATAATTTCAGTGTGCCTTCAGTATAAAATATAACAGAGGAATTGAATGATCTTTGAAATTGCCGAATCGAAATCAGCCTCCTTATGTAAAGCAGGAGTGAGTACTCTTTGCAGTGCGAGGCAGTGGGTCTCCTACTCTCCTGCACATAGTATAGTAAGCACCTGGGGAAGCTGGCTCATAAAATGCAGACCCCTGAGGTCCATCCCCAGGTACTCTGATTCAGTAGATCGGCAAAAGGGCCAAGGAATCTGCATTTTTAAACAAAATAAAAATCTAAGGAGTATTTTTAAGAAACAGCAATACAGAAGAAAAGTCTAAGTACTTGAGAAATAGAATACTGTTCTTACGTCATGAAATTGCTTCACACAACTACTCTTAGTCACCTAATTGTGTTAGTTGAGTCTATAATTCTCTGCCTATAGACTATTTCCTCTAATTTTATCTTTAGAAGCTCATATCTTTGGTTTCTAGTTTTATCTCAGATTTAAATTTCAATCTTGGTAGACGTAACACCTTAGGCCAGATAAATATTTCATGCTTCACTACATGTGAGGTTCTCAGATCCTGTTCTTGGGAGAGCAGGAAGTAAGTAGGGATTCCTGAAAGGAGAAAGAAGGTACCAACCACCATGCACCCCAGTAGGGTAGGGCACTGGGGCAAAGCTGGGAGTTGGTGGTATGTTTTTTTTTACAACAGACAGAGGTGTGGCAGTCTGAGGTTTAATTGCAAGTTGTAGTTGAGGAATGGGGTGAGGAACCCAAGATCCTGAATCCCAACACCGTGTGGGAACTTCCCAAATGTAAGCCATGCCCCCTCTTATTGGTGCTGGCATGGGACATAGGTGAGTGAGCTGGGCTAAAGCGTGAGACCAGGACAGACAAACCTAAGGAGAGGGGCAGGTAAAGGTCACTGGGCTTTCTTTACCCTACACTCTCTCCCTGGTCCTGTGTGTTCTAAACATTTTCCTTAAATTAGTGCAAATGCCCGATAGAGCTCGGAAGCACAACACTATGTCAATCTCCCCACCTCCCGGTATTTTATTTAACTTTGTTAAGGTTGTGTGGTTTGTTTCGCCCCACTTGTTCCAGGCAAGTGGGAGTAGCTCAGAGGCCTGTTTGTGGCCTTGTCTCCTTATACTCCAGACAGTGGGATCAGAAGCAGTGACCAGTACTCCTTGGAAATTCCTTCTAGTGCTGTGGCATCCTGGGACTTGTCCCGCACGTTGTATGGACATCATTGAAACTTGGATTTGTTTTAAAGTGTTATATAGTTTTGCTTTTGTTTTTTAAAAATTAAATACACGTGGGGTCCCCTTCAGTCAAAAAGCCACAGTGGCTGTCTCTCTCCGCTCCTGATGCCACTCAAATGGAGCCACAGGA